AAAATAATAAACTAAAAACTTATATAATTATCGTAAATTTAAATCAAAATTCAGTACGTAAAAAAAGAAAAGCATAAACTAATTAGTTCAGTGGGTTGATTACATGAATTTTCACTAATGTTTTTTAAATATCACTATCCTCAATTTTCTTGAATTCATCAAAAAATAAGTAAATTTAATTTTTTCGACATATTACTTTATTTTTCCCTCAAATAAATAGTAATAGAGATATCAAATATATATAATAGATACTGTGTGTGAGTTTCAAAGTTTCTTTATTAAAACAAAAAACAAAAAATAAAATTTACACTAAGAATTAACAAGCAAAAAGGAAAATGTAAGTAAGAAAGAAAAAGTAAAAGAAAAGATTAAAATTAGAAAAGAAAAAGTAGGGAAATAAGTACATATGGTCCCACAGTATACATGTGGCAGCCAAATGAGGCCTCACACAACTGAAAGTATGTGTGCCTCTCCCAGAATAAAAAATTTCGAAGAAGATGACTTGAAGCGAGTAGGGGTGCTCTTTCTTTTTTGAATTAAGAATTATAATTTTTTAAAAATATTAAAAAAATTATTTTAATTTATTTAAATGCCAAGTGTCAATTAAAGAAGAAAAAAGTGTAAGTTTTTTTTGGAAAAAATAAAAATAAAACAGTATTTCAAAAACTTCACGCGCCCATAGGAAGTGAAAAACACTTCTTTTGCCATATCAACATTTTGTGTTTAATAGGTAATTTTTGAACAATTTAAGTGTTCAATAGGTAATAGTTCTAGACTCCTAGTTAAGGTGTCTAAATTAAATATGTGGACAACTTTAAGGGATCGTGGATGACTTAAGCCTTTATTTTATATTCATATATATGTTTGGTATTATATTGTCATCTTCCACATGGTTTAGCTACATCTAACACGAGCCTCGAAAATCTGCACATGAGAGTTATAGTAAGGTTTTGAAAATAAAAAATGTAGTATGTATTAGCTGTACGTACTACTTTATATAATGTTTAAATTTTTTTTTAGAGCAATTAATTAATTAAGTATCTATAAAGTAAATATATATTTTCTATATATACACACACACAATATCTTCGAAGCAAGAAAAAAGTAGAACTCAAATGGCTAAAGTTGCAGCGTTTGCCAAAAGTTCTAGATGGTCACTTAATGGTTTGGCTGCTCTCGTCACTGGTGGCACTACTGGAATTGGGTACTTTACATTTTTAATTTCACGACGATGATATAGTGTAAAAATTTGTTACATTTGTTATTAGTCGTTGACTTGTTGTTCGTGCATATAACTTAAATCGTTAATAAAAGTTTTTTTTTTTAGTCATGCAGTTGTAGAGGAGCTAGCTGGACTTGGTGCAAAAGTGTACACATGTTCCAAGACAGAATCAGAGCTTAATGAGCCAATGCAAGATTGGGCAGACAGAGGCATACAAGTGAAAGGCTCAGCATGTGATGTTACTTGTAGAGACCAAAGAGTTGAGCTCATGAAAAAAGTTTCCTCTGAATTTGATGGAAAACTTAACATTCTTGTGAGTACCATAAATCCATCTTCTTATTATTAGTCAAGCCGAAGCACTAGATCCGCCCCTTTGGCCTTGTCATTACTGTTAGTGAGGATTCGTATAGCTGATCAATCTAACTAAGTGTTTGGATTAATCGAGACTATGGGTTTGACTTTTTAATATATATATATATATATTAAAAAGTATGGGTTTAGAATTTAAAGAGTATTTCTTGAAACTTTAGTAGGTATCGATCTACACACGTGTCAAGTCGAAGTACTGGATCTGCCCCTATGGTTCTGTGAGGATTCGTATAACTAATCCACCTAACTTGTTTGGATTAGACATATCAAGTATATGATATATTCATAGAGAAATTCAATAGTCAAAATCAATAAAAAGGACCAATTAAATTAAAGTTGCTCTTCTAGACGGGCAAGATCTAGTATTTGGTGAGATTTTAGTGGGTTTTCAAATATAATTTATACTCAAGTCAAGCCGAAGCACTGGATCTGCCCCTGTCAATGTGGATTTGTACAGTCTTTTGGCCTAAGTTGCTTGGATATTAGATGTTTTTAATAGATGTTGTATTCAAAGAGAGATTCAATAGTCAAAATTAATTAAAAGATGTTACCAATCCGAGTTGCTCTTTTAGGTGGGCAGACAACTACTGATTCTTGAATAATTAGGTGGAAGTTGAAAGAGCTGCTCCAATGTAAAATTGATAGATCCAACACTGGAAATTAACATTTAATGTTCATTCAGTATAAAAAAAATTGACCAAATTTACTATTGCCTTATGTTGTTGATGTAGATAAACAATGTTGGAACAAACATTTGGAAGCACTCTATCGATTATAATGCTGAAGATTATGCACACATGATGGCGACAAATTTAGAATCTTCATTCCATTTCAGTCAACTTGCTCATCCTCTTCTTAAATCATCTGGAGCTGGAAGTATTGTTTTCACTGCCTCTGTTGCTGGTCTTGTCCATGTCTCTGGTACTTCTATTTACGGAGCAACAAAAGGTACTCTACTCGTGCATTTAGTTTAAACATCAGGTGCGAGTAAGTTTTTACCTACTACTCATACCATCTTCCTTTGATATAATATTAACTGATGGCAGCGGGAATGATTCAGCTTACACGAAATCTGGCTTGTGAATGGGGAAGAGATGGTATTCGTGTTAATGCTGTTGCACCATGTTACACAAATACGCCCCTCGTGAAACATGTGAGATTCTCCTCTTGTTGATTCTGTGTCTGATTATATATTTGCATCAGTGCATAGGTGAATCTAGGCTCATTTTAAATTGGAAAACGGAAAAGGGTCAAAATGCCCTTAAAGTATGCAAAAAGGTCATCCGTTAACAGTTTGGTTAAAAAATGCTCCACCGTCTTAAATGTTGTATGTGATGAATTTGGAGGTTCTATACTGACAGTTGCTCAAGGATAAAGAATTTTCGGATGCCTTAATATCAAGAATTCCTCTTGGGCGTTCAGGAGAAGTGGAAGAAGTTTCATCCCTCATCGCGTATCTCTGCCTTCCTGGTGCTTCTTATGTCACTGGCCAGATTATACCAGTTGACGGAGGATTCACCGTCTATGGCTTCCAACAGCCTGGCTATTAAGTTATACTTGTGGTTGTTTGAATAAAAGTCTTGATCATGTTAGCATTTGCTCATCTTTAATGTGTTAAACAAGTGATATTGTACTGAAGATTATACTTCATTATATCCATATTGCTAAGGAATGTATTGAGCTTATGGATGTACGATCTGTTACATCAATCTCACCAAGAAATGAAACGATAAAAGATATCTTCTACTTGTTGATGTCAGCTCTGAGCAGCACTTATATATCTTAGCATGACTTGCTAAAGCAGTATGCAGCCTTGCTCACACCTAGTGTTCCGGCCCGTAGCCATAAAATTCCCCTTGCAACCCCTCTATGACAGCAGCATCGGTAGATGGCCTATCATTCTTCATATTCTGCTCTTCATGGTTGGCAGGTACACTTAGCATCCTCACTCTTTGTCTTGCTAGATTGGTCATCTCGCGTACTAGATGAACTGCAGTGCTTGTGGAACAGCATTAGCCCTCAATGTTGGCTCCAATTGTTGTACCATAGGCACTGATCGATAGAAGATGAGAACGATACAATGCAACTCCCTCACAACAAATGTTAATTAACATGTTCGATAAACTTCTGAAGCATGTTGTATACAACCTCCAAAATAATATTCGTAACGCCATAAACCACAACTCCAGTGAAATTCATGAGCAAATATCCATACACAGTAAGAACAACAGGTCGAGAGCAGAACAGTTCAATAGCTTTTCCCAAAAAAATGCACCAGAGAGCTAACAGGCTACACCTTGGCTTAAGTTGTAGCCATTCAAAAAAAAATTATGACCAAATGTATATCATCTCTATAAGCAGCCAGAGTAAAAGATTGCATAGAATCGACACATGAAACAAGATTAACTGCATCTCAGCCATTTCTAATGGCCGCGATTTTCAATGTAGAGGAAACAAGAACTTTTATTGAGGCACTTGACATGGAAATGCATAATCAATCAAGTCAGATATCAATGAAAGATACAATATACAGCTAAACTTGCTTACCAACACACAAAAACACGAATAAACTAGAGACTGCAGCTAGCATCAAGCTAAGTATTACTATAATGCGTAATTCTCTATTTGATAACACAGACACCTTGTTGAAACACAAAATTCGCCCTTGCCAAGTTGCAATATTGAAAACATCAACTAAACCAAAACTTTTAGCCCTCTGCTCAAGATTAATTATGATAGTATCTTGTTAGAAAACATCTTCAATTTCCATATTTTTTTTTTCCTTCCCATATCCTTTCTATCACAGAGAGTTGTTTAGATGGTAAATATCTCTTACTTACCATTTAGGGTCTGTTTGGAAAACCACTTGGTAATTGAAATTGGTGTTATTACTAGGGTAGTAATTACTAGCCTAGTAATTACACTGTCTAGTAATTACACTGACCTGTTTGGTTGTCACAGGGTGATTATACTGTAATTACACATGTTCTGTTTGGATGCCAATTGCAATCATAAAATTATAATAAATTTTTAAAAATAAAAATTAATTATTTAAAATTTATACTAGACAAATAAGAAACTTTATAAATGACATTAAATTAAATATCTAAGATATATATTATTTTTTGAAAATATATTAATTAATAAACATATTTTCTGTAACTAATATTATGAAAAAATAATTGATTTATATTTTTTCAAATTAATATATTTCAATTGAATTGATCGTAACAACTAAAAGAATGAAGTTCTTACGAACATCGTGAAATGCATGTTTGATAAAAAGAATAATATATAAATAAAATGTCATAAATTATTAAATGTTTGACAAAAATATAATCTATCAAGTCTAATTAAAAATGACGTGCAATGTAAATTCAATATTACTAAAACAAATGAAACTGGAAATATAACATAGGTTATAAATTCAAAACAAAAAATTTAACATAATACTCTTATAACAAATTTCAACATAGCAATAAATATGATTTGTTTTTATTTTTTTCTTAATAAAGAAAACGTAAGTCTATAACCTTACTTAACAATAAATTCTATTTTAATTTAAAAATTAGAATACTAATAAAATTATGCTAATGAGAAAATAAGCATGGCATAAAGAAAGAGATAATACGAGAAAATTACAAAGAATCACGTAAAGTAAGGTTGAGAACAGGAAGAAAATGAAATATATAAAATAAAAAATAAACTTTTACAAATTTTTAGAATAATAAAAATAAAAAAAGATCTTAAAATAATAGAAGTAAAAAAATTTAGAATAATAAAAATAAAAAAAGAACTTAAAATAATAGAAGTAAAAAAAATTAAAACAAAAAAATAAAAATAGAAATAAAAAAAGATATTAAAAAGTAATCAGGTGGTAATTACACCATGTAATTACCAGCAATTCACAGCCTCTGCCTGTGAATTGTAGAATGTAATTACCCCCTGCCAATTACACCAATTACCTGTTGACCAAGTAATTACCTGTCCTTCCAAACATGACAAGACAATGTAATTACACCAATTACACCAAATCCAATTACCAGGGTGTCCTTCCAAACAGGCCCTTAAGGTTATGATTTGAGTCAAGTGGGCTATTTCTTTGCAAAATATTGTTCAATTTCATATCATGTGGCAATACCGCTAAGGGAAAGAACCCGCTCATTAGTTTACCCCATCTATTTGAATATTAATCAATCGGAAAAACTTGTAATAGACACAAAGCCATCCATTCTGACTTTATATTTGTTCGAATAAAATGCTTAGCCAATTCCACATATCTATCTTCTAATCGATAATTAGGCCAAAGAAACGGAATTGGTAGTCAATCCTATTCTCAATAGGGATAGTTGACAGAGAATAGGGATAGTTGACAATTGAATTCATTTTGATCATTATTTTCATGAAGCACAAAGACGAAAGCTCCTAGACGGATAAAGAAGGTAAGTTTTAACCACACCCTACACTCTTTGAACCCCACTATAATATTACACTAAACATGCTATTTTACTGAACAAATTCAAAATAATGTATACATAAAAAAAAAGTATTCTACTATTATATAAGAGGGAGTTTATGATGGGACATTCTAATGTCCCATCATCAACTCCCTATATAATATATAATATAATAAATCATTTTTTCTA